GTGTTGTCACCCAATCCTGTGTAGCAGTACAAAGTTTCCAAGAAGGTACGGGCGACGACATGAAGATGGGATATTCTCCTCGAGTTGCTCGATGTAGCCACCAGCGCACACCCTCAGTCTGGGGCCCACGAAGAAAATATCGGTTTCCATCCATGTTTCCAATTACGGCTCCGCTCCGCACCACACCATCAACCCGCGCCTTGGTGAATGGGGTGAAGATGATGTCCTGGACCGTAGCGACGTTGCCGGAGCTGCTCGATGTTTGAGGTCTTGCAGATCAAGAGTACTGGTCTCCAGGTAGCTATCCATGGGTGATTCCATTCAAGAAGTTCCGCAGCTGTTTGGAGGCCACGTGAATTCCAAAGGCGTTCTCCACTCAGGCCGCGACTGGAGAGAAATGGGGAGGGGACTTTTTTCTTCATATTTTGGTGTACATGAAGGTGAATGGCGGCAGCCGGCTCCTGCTTATAGAGGAAGATCTTGGGTATCTTCCGCCCTGGTACTCATATCCACTTCCTCTGTCTGGGCTGCGAAAACTTCGCTCATATGTGACTCGGCCGGAATGACTTTTTTGCCCCCCCCCCCTGTAGAAGCGTTGGTCCTCCTCGCGCGCAATAGCATGGATTCCTAGCTAGCTGACCAGACAGACGCAGGCGCAGAGAGGGTTAGCCGACTTGAGAGATGCAGACTCTGAGAGAATCGACGTGCAACGCTGAGTGGTTTGGGTCCTAAAGCGAATGCGGCGTACGTCACCCTGCTTGGAACGCATATTTTGCCGCACTCTGCGCGACTAGAAGTAACGCTGCATACCCACAGCGGTGGCTTTTGTTGCCGATACATGAGGCAACGCCTCGAAAAACGAGCATTTGGCTTTTACGCAGTATCCTGGAAGCCTTGACCGGCCTGGGGCTTTGGGGGGGGCATGTTTGAGTTTGCGATTTCTTTTGCTAGTTCCCGTTAACTGACACATCTCACCTTCTTGAGATCTGTAGATTCTCGTCAGGTGTAAACGAAGCTCCTGCTACTGCTTAGCTTTACAATGGTTCACAGGTCTCCATAGGAGACATCGGGAGCGACTGATGAGAACCAGCAAAATGCCACCACCAAGCCGAACAGCGACGTCCCACAGATTCAAGTGTTCTTTTGGCCAAAACTGGCATCCAGCTTGTGGTTATTTTCATGTCGTTTTAACCTTCTGATAAGATAATGAACATATTAACCGATGCACAAGAGGTGAGAGCTCATCTCGGCTCGGAAGACATTCGATCCTCAGATTCTGAATACGGTAGCGATCCCGCTAACCGCTCCAACGGAATAGGAAACAACTTTCGAACTTCATATTACAGATCCAGCTGCAGGCGTTCTCACATCAGTTCAGCGTCCCGGTTGGGAAGGTGGTCAGTTAATCTCTGACCCTCTTCCTTGTTTGCCTTCTGGAGTCAAAATAACTGCGACAGCGTGGAAAACGCAAATCGGTCCCACCCACGACCAACCAAAGTTACAGGTCAGGGACAGTTTCAGGTCCAGGATGTTCTCTTACAACGGAGCTCTCTCTCTCTTTTCAGGTGTGCTCCAAAAATGTTGTTGAAGTACGATTCCCTCTTGGTAAACTGTAACGAATTCGATGTAAGAAATGGAGTTCCCGTCAGTGTTGATGTTCCTGCGGCCAACGATCCGAACCAACCTGCTCATGTAAACGCTACTCAAATTTCATGCTTTATTTATGTAACCCGTCTGTCAAAAACTTTTTCAGATTGTTTTCTATGGGAATAATTTTGTGTCACCACAAGGAGGCGCTATATTTCTGCAAGATATTGTTGTCGAAGGGAGTCTATCGTGTGCTGGCGACCAAAATCCGAGCAGCCATCCAGTGCTGATAGACCAAGCCGAAACCTTACGACGACAGCAAACTGACGAGGATCCTCAACAACTGGCTCCGACATACTCAAAAACTTTCGACCAAGTTGAACCGCTCAAGGTTAACTCTTTCCTGTCACTTTTACTAAGAGCTCAGAAAAGAGCGGATATTGAGTAGGGATATGGCATGGTCCACGCTTGTCGTGCGGGGGAGGGTAAGGGGCCGTGTCCCAGTTTATCGGCCTTCTTTACATTATTGAAAAATGAGAGCGCTGCCAATTGAGGATAGGCCCAAGCACAGAGCCTGACTCCGCCTCATTAGGCGATTTGCAGGGCAGTGCACTGCGCCTCACAATCAAACTTCTTGGGAGTGCGCCATGCTTTGCGAATTGTATTTAGAGCTTTCCAAAAGCACACATAAGATAAGAGCATTTGCTCATACAAGGACTGGAACGAGTACTGATCAGGGTTAGTAGCCGGCCTCACGGACCGTTATTATTCATTGCTGTACATTTTCGCACTCTTCCATTTCCTACCATATCTATACAGTGCTAGTTAGAAAGAATATAAGCATAAGCACGGCTTGTTTTCTAGGGTGCTGTGAGGTATCGAGTGGCCTTGATTTGGGCGTGGCGACATCCGGCGCCTCATCAGTTCGGCTGAAGAGATTATGAATCAGTTGGTGGTCAAACGGAACTGGGCCCACGAACCCATCCTCCTGACACGCCCCATCATTCGCAGCGAATAAGGCTATATACATTCACGCGATACAGGTCCAGTCATTTCACAGTCGTAGTATGGGCGGAGCCGAAGCTACCATCATGCAATCCTCATTGGTAGGTTTCTTCTTTCTCGAGGGAGGTGAACAGGCGAAGGGCGCACCAATAAGGAGTATGGGATGACCATTCTGACTCATCCACTCAAGCAGCGCAGAGTGTGTACCTTTTAGTTCTAACAGATGTAGTAGACCAGTATCCATGAGGATCTATTTAGAATAGGGATGCTTCCGTTGGCTACTTGCTGTGATTTCCATAGAACTAAATCATAATAGCTCATGTACACTGGACGTCAAATAAAGCAAAAATGTAATAATTAAGTTGAGGAAGAAAAATAAAAAACAGGGTCGTTCGGTTTAAGAAGTGAATTTACAGCCTAATTTGCTAGCCTATCCTTACTTACGGCTTCATTTTTGGTCAGACCTGATAAAATCTTGTGAAGCTTCGATTTGGTACAGTTTGGCAAGTTGGGAAATTTACAGCTCTTACAACGGTGACCCTGTACAGGTTGTTATGCTAACTATTAATCTTACCCCTGGAAACGATTTCCCGATTTCACAAATAGAAAAATTTTACTGAATTTGTCTCAGGGATGGACAGCCTATCTACCCTGAATCACTTGCTATAAATGGCACCAGAAAAACTTAGGACAAGTTTGCGGCCCTTTGAGCGAAGTGGATGTCCATTTTCGTCCGCATCAGAAGGAAGCTTCGTTCTTGCAACCGATGGCAGCCGAACGTGCACCTCAAGCAGTATTCACGACGTCTACTACGCTATCACCTGCGTTGATGCTCTCCCCTGGACTCTTTTGAAAGTTGTTTAGAGCTTTCGTGCAATCCTTCGGGTGAGTGATACCCCAAATTTAATGATTTTTGGCTCATTCCGCGGTTATTATAAGCCATCATCCCTATATAAAGCCATCATCATGCGCCTCGGCTGCGAATAATCAAGGGTAGCTGGCCACGAACAACTGCACAGCGGTGCTCTCATTGCTGTAAGACACCCTAAAAGGACAACTCAACCTGCTTGCCAGTCAAAAATTGTGGTAGATATGTATACCAAGTGGGTTGGATGGAAGAGTGCTGGCGAACGTGCATAAAGTCAAAAGGAATCAATCCTGTCTCGCTTGAAGCGGCTTACCTTAACATGGAAGGATGTGAGAGTATTGAGCAATCTAGCAGTCTTTACCGTTTCTATTGTGCTATTTGTTCTCTCTCTGATGACTCACCGGTTCACTGCATGGAACATTCTGGACGAAGAGGTCTGCGAAGGTTTATTTTTGCTCGAAAATGTTAGCAAGTATTCGTCTCACTCGCCAGCGTTTTGCTTCCACGAGAAGAGATAGAGACAAGGAATGCATCGTTATTCAAGGTCCTGAAATACATTTACGCTTCCCTGCTCAACTTGAGTGTTCGCATGCTAGCTCGACTGCCCCTCTAGTAATGGCAAAATGGTTAACAGTAAATAGAGCAGTTATCGTTTGAAACTGCTGTTTAACGCCGCGGTGTTAACCAGTCTGGAATGCTATACAAGGAATGCTGAGATGTGGGCAAAAGTCGGGCCACGGGCGGGATTCGAACCCGCATCTTCCGCTTTCCGTGCGAATGCGTTCCCTATTACGCTACCGAGGGAGGCTCTTACCTCTCAGCTCAATGGCTAATTTTGTTGCCATTGCCTTAGTTGATAGAGCATATTACGCTATTTTCTTCGCCATGTCTTACTTCATTTAGGTGCGCTTTTCACTCTTCTTCTCGCCTCATATTAACGAGAAAATCAAACCTCAATGAGGGAAGTACGATTATTCATTGTTCTCCTCTCCTCCAGAGCGAGCTTTTCAATAGAGCTATCACAACCAGTTTTTACGTTCGGTCAACCAATAACTGTCTGCACGATTGACTGAACTTCGGTAACATTCGACAGAATGATCAGCCTCGACGACCATTCGGAGAAGAGCGTGAGATATACAAAGCGAATTTGCCGTCGGTCCGTCTGGAGCGCTCCTTCTTTACCTGTTCTCTCCTCAGGTATCGCAGAAGGCCTTCAGTAATTATTTTGAAAAAAGACTTGGGACATTGAGGTCAACTGAATAGGGGCTCGCATCCGTTTGTTCTATGAGGTGCCCATGACAATGGGAAACGGACCAGCTCGCCTACGGTTATTCAAGGCTTGGATTTATTGTACTAGGCTTAAAAGCGTTAAGCCCCATTGTTACGCTGATGAGTGTCGTGCCATTGGAAATTCTAAGTGAGAGAAGGAGTCCCGCAAATTCAGATCAGTTAACGTCTTAACGACGCGTTGAAGACGCTGGATTAAAAAAGTTTTATTGCTAAATGGATTTGCCAGAATAGATGTCACAAAACTTCAGATCTCAGCTGTAAATTCTGGCGTTCTTCTGGGAACAATCGATGGGAAATCGGGTCTGCAGGAAGACTTTCTAATCCTCTTACCGGGATAAATCAGCTACCAGACACAGGTTCGTGCTCATTCGGAGTAACTTGAGAGTTTACATATTTTGATGGCATTCTAAATGAGGCTAACAGATTTCAATCAGTGTGACAAGCAGTGATACCTACAAGTTTTTTTAGTACCTAACAACTCCTTTGCCAAACCAATAACCGTTGAGAAGCTGCAGATCTTTCCCAAGAACGAAACGCTGTCCACATGAATGATGTCCTAATTTTTAGAAAGGACAGATTTTTTGAAAAAAGATTGAAGTCGAATTAAAGGCACTGGGTTCTACGCGGAATGGGTCAGGCTTGCTATTTTGCCCCCCCCGCCCCTCAACGCTTTATATCTCATTTACCAGCTTGATAAAGAAGATGAAGCATGTCAGTTGAGAAAGGACATAGTAAGCCCGACGCCCCGCCCATGCAATTGGCGTGGTTTGCGATTCAAACCCTTGAAAGAATTACCCCGTTGAAAAATCGCTCTTAATACATAGCATTTACAGTGGCTTATTTCAACAATGTCTCTGAACGATATTTTAAAACCAATTTGTTGCAGCTCAAAAATTCCTAGTGGCTCCATTTTTGGATTCGAATATTCAAAGCTACACCTTGGTCTCCGAAGCTTTGACAATACCGATGGTGGAACCGATCTACTTCTGCTTTTATGAGTACCTTGCCACTCAGGGTCTCTCATTAACTATATGTACTGACAGGATGGACTGCTTCTATAAAAAGGACAGCCTCATGACTGGGAACACCATCGATGTAAGAATCACAATCAGACTATATAAGACTGCGTAAATACTCGGCGAACTTTGATCCGCCGCCCACGTAAAACCTCATTTTGATCGCAGCAAAGCAACACTAGGGGATCGTCGCAGATGTGTAGCAAAAGATCTCAACGCGGTTTCGCGCACAGGAGAGTCATCGCCTGTCCGAACGTCGAGAACTTTGTGGTGTAGAAACGACAAAGCGCATGATTCCTTGAGAGAAAGACAGGCAAGAAGAACCGTAAATAAGCGCCCGCCGCGCGCGCGATCGTCCGCGCCGACGTTTCCCTAGCTCGCGTTAGCCTGTCGATTGGTAGCCACGATTTATCACGTGCGGCTACAAGCTGTCGACATTTATGGCCTAATTTTCGTACATTGCCTGCTGTCGCCGGCTTAAGACCTGAGAGCCAAATAGTCAAGTTGCTGGCGCAGACGAATGCTTAGCAAACAACCTTAGCAGACTAACCACCAAATAACTCTAAAATGGGCACTGTCTGAATCAGCGACCCATACCATGCTCAAACGTTCTGAGTCATCTTAAAGATTGATGAAATTTGCAGTGAGCTGGGATTTTGGCACTGAATGCGCGCAGCGACGCTCGCGAAACTAGCCATAAGAAGTACACCGATAGAAATACGACCACAGCTCGTTACGGTGACATACAAAACCTTTCTAGCACTTCCGAGCTACTTGCTAGCCTGTACTGTAATGGATTGAGACAACTGGAGGGACGTGCAGACAATCTCGATCGCTGCGGATGCTGGCGGTGTCAGCGGTATGGGTTTGACGCGGTGCCAGCGCTGTGACACGCTCTAGCATCCGGAGCGAGCAAGGCTACACCAGCTGGTTGTCTCGGTATGCTGTGGCACTTCCGCCAAATCAGTTGCAGTTGATGTCGCCGTAATCCGACGGGGTGGTGTCAAGAGGCGTAGAACGAGCCTATCTGCGGCTTTGTTTCCTACTAATAGTGACCGCGTTCAGTTAAAAAACAAGCTTTGGTAGAAAACACCACAAGCAGACTGATTCCACGCCTCCTGGCACCGCCCTGATTGGTTGCGACGATAATAACTGTTGGTTTTGTGCGAATGTAACGATTGGGATACTGATAAAAATACGGCATTCATGGCATCGCAGCAGACCTACCCCCTGGAAAGAGGGATTCGAAAACTGAAACACGTTCTTCTGTCAAGAGCATCGCGCTCGTAGCTTAGTCATTTGCAACACGGCGACCCGGGCAGGATGTGCAGCTACGCTTAGCCGAGTATGGACGCAGCCTGAGATTCTCTGCTTTCCATTCATGTGAAAAGTGAACTGTCCGAAGAAGTATGAAATATTTTTAGGAGAATAAAAAGTGGAATGTACGATGTGTGAGATTACCGGTGGGAACATACGAGGTAAGTCTTTCTGTCAGTGATTTGGGCGCTAATAACTTTGGAGGACATTAGAAGCCTTGGGGGATGGAGCATAGCAGGTCCTTGTAGGGGGTCACACCTTTAAACTCTCAGTGTGTGTCTTTGTCTTTATTCTTTTGTTTCTTCACCGGAGTGACTCAGCCTGTAAGTCCTGTAAATTCGTGTCAGGCCCCCTGCGAAGCCCTGTCAAGCGCTGGGAAACGGTACTACCGTTTTTTGAGCGTGATTTCTCCATGTTTTTCTGAACGTTGACCAGTCATTTTGACAAGTTTGACAGGAGTTTACAGGGTGCTTGACAGGTGATAACAAGGCTTACAGGGTGTTGACAAGTTGTCCGGTATTCACATGTATACAGAACTACTAATGAAGCAAGTTTCCATGTTTAGTTGAGAGTGCTCGCGGAGAATAACGGTGATAATAAAGGCGAGCTTGGATTCCTCCCTATTCGGCTGGCTTACGATCCTGCTGGTCAAAAGATGATCTGTTGATTATTCATTTTATTTATATTTTGAAGGGATAAAGCGCTCGGTGTTAACAGCTTCCTCAATAGCGCTATACAATCTTCTTATCCCTTTAAGCAAGAAGACGCGTGAGGTGGAGTCCCTTTAAGCAACAAGGCGCGTGAGGTGGCGTGGATTTGAGCGCAGCCAGACCTGCCTTTTCCACCAATCGATCCTATCCCAGGCTTGCAGCATGTGGTGGGACGAGCCGCCGTGGCTGCGCTCCCATCCACGCCCCCTTTACACGCCTTCTCATTTGTAGGGATGATGACCGTATTTGTAGGAGGTAATTGGCTTACTAAGTATAAAAGAATGTAAGTAAGGGGGAACGAGCACTATGAGGACTTCGATGAAAAACTGTAGATTCTCTGGTTTCCTTCAAATTGCGGTGTACTACTGGTACTACTGTGGTTTACTGGCTGGTCTGGGTAATTGCTGTTTTTTTCACAGTGAGAGGGTGGATTCACTCCTCTCTTCTGCACCCGCTGCCGAGGTTTTAGTGGATTGGTGGAAATTGAGGGAGGGAGTGGAAGAGGGATGGTTCTCGCACAAACGTTTCCCAACACAGACGTTCCTCTGAGAATGGAATTTGAGTCAAGGACCTATGGCACGTATGGGATAATGCGCTTCGAGAGCAAGGCGTATACTCAGAAAACTGATCGGCATCGACTACTTTATCCCTTCTCTTTGCTTCATTTCCTCTTGTCTACCTTAAAGAATTATCTGAAATTAATAAACTCAAGTATAAGACCATAAGAATGTCTTTCTATCTTACAAGTGCATTTGTCACCCTTAATAATAAAAGAATATTGGACCTTCTAACTTATGTCAGATTGTGACCCAAAGTGTTCCTCCGTTTGCTGTTGCTTAACTATGTTGTATTCAGTTATATACAGCTTGTATACAGACCTTGATATCGTCAACTTTTCATTTTTTACTGGAAATTCCCTGGAACTTCCTTTTTTTGTCAGAGCACCTTGAGTGCAGCATTAAAAAAGTAAATAAATAAATAGGATAGTGTGTTCATTGCGACACCTGAGGATAGGAGACCAGGAAGGTAAGAAAATGTGCACCAAGGGAGGTTCACCCTGGTTCGCCGGAAATGCTGGGGCGTTTCAGGTGCGTGGGTTCAGGGACGGCGTCAGCCCTTTACGCCGATTGCTATCGCTTGCCTGCTTCAGCAACTGGCGGAGAACGGGCTGGCCTAGGAGGGGGAAACAGTTTGAACTTTCGCTAGGTCCTTTTGCAAGTTCGTGTTAAGTAACAGCTAGCCGACCCGAGTTGAAGATGAGTAGTAGAACCGAAGATCAGAAGAATACGAGAATGGAGTAGATGTGGATTGGTCGACACCGGTTCTCACAATCCCCCATTCTCCTCAACTCCTATCCTCCCAGTTCGCGACCGAAGTCGATCTATTTCCATCATCCTTTGGCGCTCATTATCCCTATTCCTGCACTCGTTGATTCTCCTATTCTCCCGAGTCCTAAAGCATGAACACGACCTTCACCCTCAGTTATGGTCTCTAAGAAAAGAAGCGGACTGTCTCCAGGGTCACCGGATAATCTATGCTATTGAAATAAAGGTCTCTTATCATTTATTCGTATTCCACTTTCGTCTCAGAGGTGGAGTCGGGCCACCCATTGTGCCTTCATCATTGGTGCACCCCTCCTCTCTGGGTCAGTGAGGAAAGCAAAATGGTGATCATGGCTCCGCCTATACGACAAGCGTGGAAAATGTCCTTAAACATTGCTCGATGAACATGTTACTGTAATCCGGTACTAACTTGCTTCACAACCATATCCAACTGTAATAAAGATTCATACCAATTGCATGTGTTCATTCTGTTTTTTAGGCATTATTCGTCTGGGGAAGAAGCGAAACGGACCACCTCTGTTTCAGTGTGTTTTCTTTTCATTTTTGTCTCGTACTTACGTGTTTGGGGAGGGGTTTTGCTTCAAAAAACTCACGCGAGGTCAGAGCAACAAAGCTCCAGTCAACAGCAACAGTCTATGGTAGATTAGTTCCGGAAGACGGCTCGTGAAAACAGCGAATGGAGTCAATGAAGTTCACGGTTGAGTGCGACACATCACTGCCGTGAATTGAAGTGATATTGGGGTTAAGAGACAAATAACATTCAGAGCAGTAATTCGAGCAAGTGAAACGTCTGATGCAGAGGCTCCACGGCTTCTTCGCATCAGTAATTTTCGCTTTTTTTGATGTTGACGAAACGCGAAATAGTAGGAAAGGTATTTTTACAGGTCCAATAAGTTCCATCTTCTCGTTTCGAAGGTTCTCGATTTTCACCCCTCAAGAACATCGTCTAGGCAAACCTGCAATCGTATCATCTTTTCATGTGAAATAAGTTTCCTTGAAGTGAGTGCTCTTTTCAGAATGCCCGGAATTCTCGAAAAAGAAAGAGATCCAGAGATTGCAAAACTTGAAGAAAATGGCACACTAGCTTTGTTACAAGGCACTAATCAGATACTTGAGCTCCAGACAATCCTCAAGGACAAGTGGGTTTATGCTACGTTTCCGGACCTATCTAGTTTTGGTTATTCTTTGGAAGACCTGCTTGCCTGTGAACTTTTGCTAGTGTTTTATGTAGCGTAGGATAGCGTTTCAGATCATTAGGATGGTTACAAAGCATCTTTCAAGCAAAATTTCTCACCCTTCCGCAGAGAGACCTTTTTTCGCTGCTTCGTTCATCCCATGGTTATGATGATAAGAAGCTGACATCCCTCATTCTTCTTTGAAGGTGGTGGGCATTGTGCACTTTCACTATTTCCCGTTGTCATGTCGAGCCATCAACTAGAGAAGTGTTAAATCTTGTGAAGCCATGGTGGTACCACTTAAAGTCTGTAGAGACCAGCCAAATCTTTAACACATTGCGGACCGCCGTACTGCGCATGCCGAAGTATTCCATAACTTTCCATCATTAATTCCACAGTGATTTCCTCCATTTTTTTCACCCGTTACGAGATAAGTATTCTGAAAACTTCAGAACATGAATGAAAAGCCAAATTAATAAAATAAAGCACCACATAGAGACAAAATTATGACACACCATGTGTGTCACGCGGTCCTGAACGTGTTAAAGAATACCTGTCAATTCTTGTTATGTAGTGAACCGACACTTGGAAGTAGCGGAAGTGCAGAACCCATCTCCCGAGCCGAATTGTGCCAAAGCCCTTCCATTTCTATTTCTGTTTAGCAGCTACGTCGGCTGAGCTTCCATTTCTTTCAGAAATACGGAGCACTCGGATTTTGTCTTCTATGCCGATCGTCTCATGCGACTTGTTATTGAGGAAGCCCTCAATAAGTTACCTTACACTGAGATTACAATCACAACACCTACTCATTGTCAATATAAAGGTATGTCTGAATCAATTAAGATCACCGGAAGTAGTACCTTAGTAAATCAGGCGCAGTTTTGCTTAGTGGGCATGTTGCCAGTCTTCACTACCAATGGCTCCTGTGGAGACCTGAACTCCTTTAAAGCTGTACAGTAGCAGGAGCATCTTTACATTTGTGGGGACTAAACACGTTTCACAAGTTACTATTAACGTTTCACGTTAATAGTAACTAGCGAGAGCGCAAAATGCCCCTCCTTATCCGAACAGGGTCAAAAGACAGTAAGTTCTGAACACATTTAAAAACAGATGTACCCTAATTCCTGGCTATATTTCGGAAATTTTCCTGTTTTTTTTTTGATCCTTCTTCTCAACTGTGGTGTGATTGTTTAAGAGAAGACTTTTTCAGGGATCCAGTTCATGCGTGGAAATTGTGGCGTCAGCTTGTGTCGAAGTGGCGAAGCGATGGAATTTGCTTTGAGACAGTGTTGCCGATCGATTCGGATCTGCAAGATGTTGATTGGTATGTGACTCATTTCAGATGGAATGCACAGATCTCTTAGTTTCACTTTTTGTCACGTTACACTCAATAAGTTTCGTAGAGCGAGAGGGTTCGGTGCAGAAGTGTGGGAAGGAAAGTGCAGCCAAATAATGAAGGTCGTTCGCAGATCTTGGCAGCGCTATGAGCCTACTTGATAGAGGGTTTAAGTGCTGAATCAACATATAATAGCTCAATTTATGGTTGAAGAAAAGATGTTGCAGGAGATGAGCAACGTGTTCTGTATGCCCGATTGATACCGGATATGGCTCATCGTAGAGTGCTGTTGCTGTACCCAGTAGTGAGGTAGGTAGTAAAATACGTTTCTGGCGTTTTAGTAAGAATGAGCGACTTTCCTGATTTGCTTCCTTCTGGTCTTTTATTTTCCTGAGACCGATCTGCATATAGTCAGATTTGAACCAGGACGATGAGCTATATTGCGTCTCAGGATATCTGTCAGCCGCGAAGCCTTTCCTACTCCTTTCCTTTGTTCCGTCTTCATTCTTTT